AATGTTTAGCAGACACCCAGACATCCTTGGTCCCAGTTCTTGGATATGTGAGGAAGAAACACAAGAGAACATTCCAGCCCCAGGGCCAGGGGTCTCCCGTTACCGTGTAGGCGCCGCGCACGGGGCCGTTGTAGAAGGTGAAGAGGCTGATGAGCTGCTCCAGAAAGCGCCTGCAGCTCACGTCAGGGAGCTCCACTGCACAGCCCAGAACCTGCAACAGGAGAGCCATGAATGGGGGATGTTCACTGACAAAACCCGGGCACAGCAGGTGAGAACAACTCTTATCGCTTTCCAACAAGGACAGACAGCTCTGTCAGGCAAACCCCCCCCAGACTCACGAGTCACATGAAAAGGAAATTCAGAAATACCCACACAAGAGCCCTGGCACAGACAGGATAAATAAATGATATCAGAAATGCAATGCTTCAGACACACTTTCTTCCCACGCTAGATGACCCAGCTTGGTTCTTTAATAGCTAACAACATTCTCCTGAGACTAAGTACTTTAAAACATTCAAATTAAGTTGTTGTTTACAGCAATGAAGACACTTCATTCAGCTTTTAAGTTGCTGAGGGAAGCAGAAGCATCATGCCTCGTGCCTCAGAGCAAGCCATGTGAGCCTGAACAGCCAGTTAAATGGGGCTGACTGGTCTCAGCCCAGTTCCCAAGGGATGGTTTGGGGGCATTTTTGTCATAGCTCTGCCAGACACTGTTCTTTGTATACTAAATGTCTGTGGACACTGTCATGGCTCTGCAGCAGGAAATGCTGAGGGTTAGAAGGAAAGAGCAATCAGACCAGCTTGAGATTCTGTTCCCAGTCATTGCCAGTAGCCCACAGATACACACAACGATGTGGAGCTCAACATTTCACAGCCATTGGACAGGAACATCTAAAGAAATCATGTTGGGAGTAGACACACAAATGAGGTACATGAAGCCTAATGACTTTCAGGACACAGTGACTTAAACTCAAGTTACCTTGCAATGAAATTCGTGCACTGCAAGGTCCCTCCCAGCTCTCCCCAGGCGTGCAGCCCCCACCCTGAAAAATAAACCCTCTTTGTTTGACACAGTCCTGTAGCCTCTGACTGTTCCCATTCTGTGACTGCTCCAGACCTCCTGAACTCACCCACAGATAGTCTCCATCCACCACCACGGCAAATTTGAGCTTCCTGAGGCGGATGAGGCTGGGAGGGACCCCGGAGATTTCGGTCATGCAGCGAACCACCCCTGCCATCTGCCCACACAGCAGCTCCTGCTGCTCTGGGAGGGTCTGCCCAGGGAGATAGGGAGGAGAAGCTTTAGTTTCCCTTTAAAAGAACTGGGACAAAAATCACTACTGTAATCAGGTATAAATAAAAATTAATTATCAATTCAGTTATATAGAAAGAATTGTAAAGCATTGGAACAGGCTGCCCAGGGCAGTGGTGGAGTCACCATCCCTGGAAGTGTTCAGAAAACATGTGGAAGTGGCACTTGGGGGACATGGTTAGTGGTGAAAGTGGTGCTGGGTTGATGGTTGGACTTGATCTTTTCCAACCTTAATGACTCTGTGATTCTATGAATCAAACACAGTAGCACAGGCATATTTCTGGTAGAAAATAACTGGATTGCTTTTTCCAGGCAGCACAAGGGCCTGGACCTTATGGAGGGGAATTTTCATCTCTCATGTGTATTTATATACATCACCAGGACAGACCTGGACTGTGCTGGACCATTCCACAGTGGGGGAGCAGAGTGTAACCCCACTGCTGTGTCCCGAGCCAGGTGGAGCCCAGCTCCACTCCACCTGGAGTTAGTTGTACAGGATTTTTTAAAACTTTTGTGAACACTAAATAGGGATTAATCTGAATCTCCACCTGGGAACCAAACCATTCCTGATCCAGAACTATCAGCCCTGACCCACAATACCCCTTTACAGGTACTAAAATGAGAGTAGACATTACCTGAGAAGGGTAAAAGTAACAGATCCCAGCACTTGTAGGATCTCCTTCCTCCTTCACCTTTGAGCCGTCGTAAAGGAAAAAGTAATTCCACCTAAAAAAGCAAAGCAGTACCAGGAATTATTTTGTATTTGAAAACTGTTGCACTTCTCTGTCTCCTTTCTATCAGTTCAAGAAGAGCAATTAAAGGTTATTACAAATGGAGAGAGACATTGTTCTTGCACAATCACACTAAGTTTACACCCAAAAGCAGCACCAAGTGTCCCTTACAACTAAGTCTGACCTTTTTTGTGGGCTTAAAATAGGTTCTATAACTCAGCAGCTCAGACAGGTGGAAAAGGATATGGACTTGTGAGATATTCTACCTGAGCCCAGGGAGTAATTGTCATTGAGCATTATCCACATGCATTCTAAACAATTCCTGGGACCTGCTACTATTAATTCAGTTGCTCCCTGCACCCGACAGCCCTCGAGGAGCACGAGACAGAGAGTTCCCTCGGAAGACAAAATGTTATTCCACTCGTAACTTCTTTGATTGACATATTCATAACACTTTTTGTCCTCTCCTGTCGTCACATCTCGAGACAAGCTTCCCCCAGGAGTATTCCAGCAGGAACAGCCCAGGTCTGGGGCAAAGGCAAAAGACGGCTCCAAGGCGGTACCGAGGAACCCGGGAACCCGCGTTACGGCCGGGCCAGGAGCAGGAGGCTGGATCCGTTCCCGGGGCGCCTCTCCATGGCCCTGGAGTGACTCTGGGAGAGGGACGGAGCTGCTGAGCCCCTGCTGGGTTCTCGACCACGGGACGGGCACTCCGCTCTGCGCTGCAGCCGCGACCGGTGACCGTACCCACGGTCCGGCCAGCAAAGGGCCGAAGTGCCTTCCCGGGACACCCGCCACGCGTGTCCGGCGGTGTCCGGGCGGTACGGACGGGAGGGGAAGGGGCTCACTCACCACGGCGCGGGGCCGGGCTCGGTGGGCCGGGACATGGCTGCGGGCGGTTCCGGGATGCTCCGGGAGGCTCCGAGCGGTTCCGGGATGCTCCGGGCGGTTCCGGGATGCTCCGGGATGCTCCGAGCGGTTCCGGGATGCTCCGGGACCCCGCGGTCCTTCCCGCCGCCGGTTCCGGGCGCGCCCCCGCCGGTCCCGTGACCGCCGCACGTGACCGCGCATGGCGGCGGCGGGCGGGTGGCGCGCGGCGCGCGCGCGGCGGCGGCGGCGGGGCCGGGACCGGGGAAAGGAGGAGGAGGAGGAGGAGGAGGAAGGCGGTACCGGCACCGAAGCGGTGCTGCGGCGGCTGCGGGAGGCGCGGTGAGTGCCCGGCCCCGGTACCGGTCCGTGTGTCCCCTCCAGCCCCGGGGCTGCCGCGCCCCGCTGACACCGCGCTCTCCCCGCAGGGACGATCTGCTGAGCTCCGGCTTCTGGGCGGCGAGCGCCGGTGAGTGCGGGAGGAGAGAGCAGGGGGAACGGGAGGTGCGGGGCCAGCGCGGTGACGGAGGGCGGCGAGAAGCGGCCCCGTCCCCGCCGCGCTGACCGCGCTCCCCGCGCCCGCAGGAGCCGTGCGGGCCCCGCTGAGCGGCCCCGCCGAGCCGCCCGCCCGCTGCGTCTGCTACGGGCTGGGCCGGTTCGCCGCCTGCCCCGCCGCCCGCTACCAGCTCGCCTTCCTGCTGCTGCTGCTGGAGGAGCTGCGGGTGAGCACCGGGGCCGGGGAACACCGGGGGCACCCCCCGGGCCGGCCCCCGCCCACGCCGCCCCTCTGCCCCGCAGGTGCCGCCCGCCCGGTGCGCCCTGTTCGACCCGGCCTTCTCTGCGCGGGAGGCGGCGGCGCTGGGAGCGCTGGGGCTGCGGCTGCTCCCGGAGAATGAGGTGAGCGGGACTCCCGGCTCGGCCGCCGGGACCCCCGGGGCCAGACCCCCTCGGGACCCCGCGGCCAGGGCTCAGCAGTGACGGGAGACGCCGGTTCTCGGGCAGGAGGGGAAACACGGCGTGGGGGACTCGGCCACGCTGTTCTACATGGTGCACTGCGGGAAGGCCTTGTACAACAACCTGCTGTGGAGCAACTGGAGCCCAGCGGCACTCTCCAAACTGGTCATCATCGGGAACAGCTTCCGAGGGATCGAGGAGAGGTCTGTGCATGCCCCGGAGACGTTCTGATGCCTCCAACCCCACTTTCCTCTCCTCCCTCCCTCCCTCTACTCCTAATATTCCTTGTGACAGCAAGGTCCCTGTTTTGCTCATTTTCGTTGCCATCAGTTTTACAGTCATGAGCCCTCTTTCCCCTTCTCTGTTACACCCCCCTGTACAGAAAACCCGCCTCACAGGAACCTTGTGTCTAACATGAGCACGTTCTGTTATTCCAGATTGCTGTCCAGAATACTGGAGAGAGATTATTCTTACATAGCAAAGGTATGAGGCAATAGTTTAACATTATTGTTTTGTGTTGACAAAGCACCTTTAATGAGAAAGAAAATGAACTGCAGTTGGAAAGAAGAGGGTGGTTGTTTTTAAAACCTTTTTCCTGGACACTGCAATATAAAAACTAATTGCCTTAGGATTGTTCAACATCTGCAGAACACTCTGCACACAGGGGCTGAGGGTAACATACACCATCCTCATCCTCACTGACTCAGCTTTGTAGAAAGGGACTTCTGCGTCATCTATAACTTTTTTCCCAAATGCACTTTAGGTCTTGAAAGGGACGGAGGAAGTGGCGCTCCCGAGTCACCCCCGCTACCTGGACACCTTCAACGACACCTCTGTCCACTGGTTTCCCTTGGACAAACTGCAGGAACTCTCCCCTGAGGTCTGGAACTTTGTGGAAGAGCCAACGTACCAAGACTGCGAGGACCTGGAGATCATCAGGAATCAGGACAGAGCTGCTACCCAGTCCTGACTGCTCCCTGTGTCAGGAGGGCTCGGATCCATATCTCTTCCCATGGAAGCTTCTGCACAGCTGAGATGAAGCTCAAGAGTGACACTGACATCAGGCTCTGCCAAAAGTGGCAGCACCTGAATGCTGAGGTGATGGGACATTTTTGTATCTTATTTAATAAAATGTAAAGCTGAGCTTTGACTTGCACTCACTGAACTACAGCAAACTAATTCCCCTAAAACCTGCCTTTAGAACCATCTGTACTGCAGTGAGTGCTCTTTGATTCTCTCCCCTTGCATGAACAATTCAAGGCCTTTGCACATACTACTCACATCTCAAAGCATGAGGAAGAGGGAATTATCTGAGAGGAATTAGCAGCTGGAGGTGTTGGTATCTAGTTCCCAGTGCAGGCTTGTAAAAGCTCCGAGAGCTGCTCAGTGCTGCTGAGTTCAGTTCTCCATCTGTTCAGTGAACAACCAGGTCAGCTCCCTCCAGGGACAAAAGCCTCGGGTTTCCTCCCTCACCTCTGTGTGCCCTGAACCACTGTGGTCCCAAAGCACCTTCTGTGAGTTTGCTGGGAGAAATCCCCCTGCTCCAGCTCTGCACTGATAGGGCAGAGGGAGCACCTAGAGTGTTTGATGGCCCACAGGCACCAGGCTGAGGGAGAGAGGTGGGACAGGTCCTGGCTGCATGTGGCAAAGAGGAGTCCACTGTGTGAGGGGCATGGGGACAGCAACTCACTGCCAGTGCAGTGCACAGGCAGCAGAAGCTGTGACATCTGTCACTGGATACTCTTGGGACTCAGCTAGACCAGCCCTTGCTTGTCTCTGGGATCAGGGAATCACCTTCCATGTTCCCTTCTAACCTGCTGCTGAACCTCTGTCACAGGTGGCAAGTGCACATGTGTTGGAACTCCTTTTTCCTCCCTCAGCCTGGGTTTCCAGGTTGGGAAACCTGCTCTCAACACTGCCTGAACAGCTCTTCCAGAACAGAAACCATTCTGGCATACAGCTTCAGTTTCACTATTTACAAACCTGTAACTTCTTTATTCTAAGAGTTACACTAAAGCTATTCCCCGGGAAGGTCTCTGGGTCCCCAGCAAGGCCTCACTTGGCCATGTCGATGAGGCTCTGGAGGGAGGTGGGCACCCACGTCTTCTCCCCCTGCACGAACACCACGCCCCTGTCGATGTAGATGACGATCCGGCCGAATGTGTACAGCTGCTTCCCCTCGTGCCGCTTCCCGATCACAGGCATGAACACAATGTTGTGCTCCTCAGCCTTGGTCTGGATGAGGTCCTTGAAGTTCATTGGCACGGAGCTGGCAGCCACGCCGATGCCACGCTGGGCCATGTTCTCGGCCTCCCGCCGCTCCTGCATGGCCTCGTACTGGAAGTCCTTGCGCCGCTCCGTGTGTGTCAGGTAGGCGATGTTCTCCCGGGCCCCCGGCTGCATGTACCCCCCTGTGGGAGACAGGACAGTGAGAATAGGGTCCTGGTCTGTTCCCAGTGCAAGGTCTGTGGGTAACTCTGTCCAGGACACATAGACATCAACACATCTGGAGTGCTGTGTTCAATTCTGGGCTCCACAGTTCAAGACCCTCTGCTGGGGAGGGTCCAGCAGAGGCTACAAAGATGGTTTGGGGTCTGGAGCATCTCCCTTATGAAGAGACTGTGGGAGCTGTGCCTGGTTAGTCTGGAGGAGACTGAGAGGGGACCTTATCAATCCACACAAATATCTCCAAGGGGTGTGAGGATGGTGCCAGACTCTGTTCAGTGGTGCCCAGTGATAGGACAAGGAGCAATGGCCATAAACTAGAACACAGACATTTCCTCTTAACTTGAGGAAGAACTTTCCATGGATGGTGGCAGAGCACTGGAACAGGCTGCCCAGGGAGGGTGTGGAGTCTCCCTCTCTGGAGACATTCCAAACCCACCTGGATAAATTCCTGAGCCACCTGTGACTGTCACACCATACAGCAAGAAGGTAAGAGGAGCTCAGGGTAGGATATCTCAGTCTTTGATAGAGGGCAAATTCCAGGTGCTGCTCCCTCAGGCATGGCCTTCCCTTTTATACAGTGTAATTCCCTGTGAAGTCCTAACAATCTCTTTTAGGTCACAGGGAGAGTCATGTGGAAGGAGAGGGCACTGTTCTAAAGCTAAGGAAAAGAAACAGTAATCTCACTATAAGGGGAAAAAAAGCCAGTAAATTACAGTTTTAGAAGTCAACCCGTAAACGAGGGTGTCTGACAGGAAATCCACTGTAACAGGGCAAGGCTGGAAGAGAATCAGTCATTTAATGGCCCAGGCAGCCACCAAAACTGTTTCTGCTTCAGTGCAGCACAGAACAATTGAGCAGCACCTCCAAGGACACAGCAAGGCAGAGCATATCGACTTTCACTGCTCATAGGAGCTGCTGCCATGCTGACAGCAGGGCCATCCCAAATCAGCCTCCCAGGAGCCACACGTGGCCTTGCTGCCATCCCAGAGCAACAGAGCCACCCCCATGAGCCACCTACCCACGCTGGAGGACACGGCCCGGTTCATGATGTCCAGAGCCTCATTAAACTTGTCTTTGATGGAGGGATGTGCCAACACCTGGTCTGAGAACATGGACTTCCAGCCCAGGTACCACTTGGTGATCTCTTCATAGTTGGGGCTGTTACTGAGCCAAGAGCAGAGCACCTGCAAAACACAGGGACATGTCAAAGGCAGCACAGGTTTGGGGAAAAGAGGCCTCACTGCCACAGAATCCCAGAATCATTCAGGTTGGAAAAGACCTCAAAGATCATCAAGTCCAACTCTTGACCCATCCCCGCCTTGTCACAAAACCAGAGCACCAAGTCCTACACCCAGTTGTTCCCTGAACACCTCCAGGGATGGGGACTCCACCACCTCCCTGGGCAGCTCCTTCCAATGCCTGGACACCTTTTCCATGAAGAAATTCCTCCTGATATCCAACTTGAACCTCCCCTGGCTCAGCTTGAGGCCACTTAGTTTATTACTGAGCTGTCACTAAAAGGAAATGCTGTGACAATCTGAGGACAGTCTGCTCTGATGGGTACAGAGCTGTGAGTGGAAATCAGCCCATTTCAGCATCACGGCAGCAATTCCTGGTCAGGAGTCACTAAAACAGTCCCCAGTAACCTCTTTCCTCAGTCCTCACAGCATCTCACCTGCAGCCACTTTGGGAAGAAGTGTTTCTCCAGCAGCCCAACAAGGCTGGAGACAGAAATCATCCCCTCCCAGTCGATCACCCAGTAAAAGGCATCCATGTGCTGCTGGTGAGGGTTGATGATGAGCTCGTTCAAACACATCCCTGGGAAAGGGGGAGGAGAGTTAGAAAAGAACCTGACTCAGGTTTATCAGTTCCCTGACATCTTTCACTACCAACACACATGATTCGAGGAGCACCTATTTATTGCACTAAGGGACATTGGGGATTTTTAAACTCTTTGGCTGATCCCGCCACCAAAACAGTGCATTTCCTCCTCCAGTAACCACAGTTTGCTGCCAGAACTCAGAAACTTAAAACCTTTGACTGGTTTTTAGCCTTTGAGCCAGTTCACGTTACAAAACTCATGATGTGAAAGCATTAGCACAGACCAAGAAATTCAGGAGCAACAGAGAGACATCTTACAGCTTGGTCCTACCTGACAGCTGTCAGATATTCCTGCTAGTTGAAGAACAGAGGAATTAGATAATTTTATAAAAAGTAAGACAGAAGACACAGAGAATAATCAGAGTAATTCCTGTACTTTTCTAAGCTGTCTGCCTCTTCATGGGACTGGTAGCAGAAAAGAAGAGGGAAGCTTGGTCTAACCTTGCTAATAACATTCTCTGAAGTAACATTGGCACCCACGTTAATGAATATCTTTCCTGGGTGTCAGGGGAAAGTGCAACCAGCAGATTCCCAAAATTCAGCACTGTCTGGTAGTCTCACCTAGTTTAGGCACAATGTTTTTGACCATGAAAGCCTCCCACGAGCCAGGAGTGAACACATCCTTCCAGGGCTGAAGGATGAGCTTGGCAGAGGAGTCACTGGGATGCCACTTCTGCAGGGCATTGGCCAGCTTGTTCCTGATGGGAGAGTACAGTGGCTCCAGCCGTGCCTGCATCAGGGGCAGCCAGGGGTGGATCCAGGAGTGGATCGGGACTGTGTCTGTCAGCGGATTCCAGCTTTCAACCTTGAGGTGGAACAAAAAAGATTAAGTAAGTCCATCCATTACCAGCAAGTCTTGTCCAGAAGCACAAGGAGCCGTGATGCAACCTCCAACTCCTCTATCCATCAGTCAGTTGGTGTTTTAGAAGTTCCAGTTGGAATTCAAACACTGGGCAGAGCATGGCTTCGCTCTACCCATCCCTCTCCTCTCACCTCCTTCTGTAGCTTGGGGAAGATGAGCTGATCCAGAATGTTATCCAGTATCCACACAGGAACAACGTTTACCCAGCTATCCAAGAAATCCACCATGGATCCACAGTTCCTTGGCTGCCACCGTGCCACAATGTTTCTGACATATGGCATCCAGATCTCCCACATCAGTCTGGGAAAAAAACCCAAACAATTAAATCAAAGTGAAGCTCAAAGGTATAACCCAGGCCTAAATAAATCAAATATGAACTGTTAGTTAAAGCTGCTTCTCTTCTGTAGCTGGCAGCTGGATTTTAACAGGCACAGCAAGGGAACTGTAAGGAAAGCTCCTTTGTGTCTGCTCTTTTCTGTCCCTGAGGAAACAGTATGTGAAGATGCTGCACAAAGCACAATTCATTTGCTCTTTACCTGTGGAAAGCATCCGTCGACAGGTCCTGCCCACTGTGGGATAACAGCTGGTCATTTTCCAGAAGGCTCTTCCACTTGGCTATGATCTCTGTGCCATAGGAACAGTCCTGGGAATGAAAAAGCACTCGGGGTCAAGGTCTTTATCCTTTTCCATTAATTTCAGCTGGGACCTGCACAGAGCAGGCTGATGGTGTGCTGGGCTACAGCCACCATTCTCACCCCTCACAGGGCCAGCCTATCTTACCCATCCCAGCCTAAATGGCATTGAGACTAGACTGAGCATCTGTGATACCTGACAGACAGACCTCTCCTACTTTTGCTAAAAAACAACTGGAGACTTTTTTTTCACCTACTTTTTCTTTCCAACACTCATAAAAGGGATTGACTTTAACCTTACAAACTCCTCAGCAAACGTCTGAGAGGGGGCACAGAGCAGGGTTTGGTTTTGTTTCTTTTCTTTCTCTCCAGACTGATCAGGAATTTAGAATCACAGAACCCCAGACTGGTTTGGGTTGGAAAGGACCTTAAAGCTCATCTCCTTCCACCCCTCTACCACGGGCAGGGACACCTCCCACTAGACCAGGACACTTAAGACAAAGTAGAAAAGACTGCTGAAGCCATCAAGTGAGAACTGCAGATAACCCAACACACACCTTGAGGGGATCCCAGTTCTTGAAATAATCCTTCATGAGAGGATAAACTATGGCCACTGCCAGGTCCACCCTGTCTGACATCCTGTACTCCTCGTAGTACTTGTCCTGAAGTGTCTCAAAAATCTTTGCACACTCATCCAAGGTCAGAGGGTTTTCACAGCCGGGCTGCATCCGCCTCTCACACTCCTCCACCATGTCCAGCACCTTGCTGAGGTTGCTGATGGCCTTCTCCTCGTGCGAGAGCACCTCGGACATCTTCTGGATCTCGTGGCTCAGGTTGACCACCATGTCCCTCTCGTACTGCAGCTGCCGGTCGTTCTGGATGATCTCCTGCTCCGTGATGTCGATCAGCAGCTGCAGGTTGTGCTCCAGCTCAGGCAGGGCGAACCCCTGGGGCTTGGAGTCCTTGCCCAGGGGTTGCTGGGGGCTGTCATCTGGGATGTTGTGCTTGTGGCTGATCTGGCTGTAGCTGTAATAAACCTTCTGCTCCCGGCCCGTCATGTCTATAACCTGACAACAGACAAGGACAAACAGGTCTTAAATAAAATTGTATCTCAGAATCACAGGATCACTGAGGTTGGAAAAGACCCCCAAGATCATCGAGTCCAACCTTTGACCCATCCCCACCTTGTCAACTAGACCAGAGCACTGAGTGCCACATCCAGTTGCTTTCTGAACACATTTAAAGGAGGAGGTAATCCCTGACTCCACATTAAAATCTTAATTACTCCAGGAGGCTGCTAATGCACACTGTATCTCCAGGAGGGGATTGCCTCCACAATGGCCTTCTCCAGATATGAGGTGTTAGAATGAATAAGGGACAACCTGGAATCAGAGCTGGAAAAGTCTCCTCCATCTCATCTCAGTTTCTCTGAGTAATTCTACAAGCAGTGATCATGCCATAAGTATTCTATTAGTTAGTGCACTCAGGTACTTTTATACCTTTTTTAAAGACACTGTAATTTTAGATTAATAATTTTACTAAGTACACACCAGACAAATCCCTTACTGTCCCCTTGAGGTAGAAGAAGGTTCAAACCATGTGGTTAGTTGCATAATCCCAAAATGGACAACTGTGCTTTCAGAAGTGGGTGAGTGTTGATCTATGACTAATGTGAAACAGTTAAACAATTTGCAATTCAAAAAAACCAAACCCACCCACATTTAATCTAATTGGCATGTTTTAAACTAAACCTGATGTCCAGGTGACACAGGGGGCTATTACATGGTTCAGTGATGAGTCCAAAAGGCTGCACAGGCAGCTCCTAGAACTGGCTTTATCAAGGTTACTGGTGGCTAAAATGCACCTGTGACACCAAAGTGGACAAAGTGTTCCTCAGAGGTGTCACCTCTCAGGTATCAGCCTTACCTTGACCTGGGACAGCTCCTTCTGAGGGGCTGCAAGCTGCTTGTTGATCCTGCCCTTGGCTTTCAGCTCTTCCACTGTCTTATAGCTGTACTTGGGCTTCTTCTTGCCTCCGTTCGGGTCCTTCCGCCACTGACTGAGCTCCTTCTGAAATTCCTGAACAAAACAACAGGAAATTGTGGGAGCTGCTCTTTGCCATGCCCCAAATCTGCCTCTTTCTACAGGACAATAACCATCAGATCAATGGGGAATTCTGTACAGAAAATAACTGGGAAGTGGTGAAGCTGAGTGCCAAAGCACCACAGATGCTGTGGGTCAGTCACCCACCCTATGGCCTGTGCTTACAGGGGGTTTGTGGTCTTTTTTTTAATTTAAATAAAAGACAAAGACTATTTACCTGGGGGGACTTTTTGTAGGTGGGATTCTGAGACAAAAACCAACAAAAAACATTACAGTGAAATGAAAAATCTGTCTAAATTAAATCAACATGCTCAATCTTTGGCTTCTTACCGAAAATGAGCCCAAGCAGTTTTCTCTGACACAGAAAGAGAACTGAAGTTTGTACACACAGCACAGCACGGAAACAGATACAGAAGAATCACACCAATACCTCCTCAGCTTCCTCTTCTGAGTCCACCACAGGGAAGTCCTGCAGGGACTGAGTGGTCCTCTCAGAGCCATAGGCCCCCACGGCACCTTTGCCTTTCCTCTGCTTGGCCTCGATGGGATTGATGATGCCTGGGAGGATGGAAAGGGGTCAGGAGGAGCAGTTTGTGTGCTGGGGGAGCACAACAGCCAGGTTTTCCCTACCAGTTACCAGAACAGCACCAAGCCCCTCGTTGGCACTCTGCCCCCAGCACTGGGGTACTTCCACCACCTCACTAATTTCCTATAAAATCACTTAATCCCACCACACACCAAAATGGCAAAGCCCATCCACATTTCACTGCCTTTTTATTCTGCCAAATAAAATAACATTTATTTTTCTGTGAGGAGTTTTATATCCTTTGGAATTTATATCCCAATTTTTGTTCAATATTTTCTCTCTTGCAAAATACCAAAAGGAATAAATGACCACGGGCCAATTTTAACACACCTGACTCTCACCACAGGACCTGAATCATTTACAAGAGAGGCAGGAAAATACCAATGAAGTTTATGCCACCTTGGGCTGGCATTTCTTTAAGGAATCCATGCTCTTCTCCACATCACCAGTTAACAATAAACAACCAAACACACTGACAGTACCTTGAGCATTCTTCCCAAGACCTCTTCCAGGGACATATCCCATCTTCTGGAGAAGCTTCTGCCCAATTCCCTTAGTGTGTCTCTCCCAGCTGCCAAAATCCATGAAAGATTTGGTGCCCCCTACAAAGCCTTTCTGGCTGGGCTTGAAATTTCCTCCCTGTTAAAACACAACACAAACCCCACAGCCTTGAAGCATTGCAATAACCAAGTTGTGTAGAATTTTCCTCAAAAGGCTCTTCCCAGAAGTGATTCCCTTGTCCCCACAGTGCCCAGCTCACTGGGACCTCGCTTGTGCATCCAGGAAAGCTGCCTGACACCTAAGGAGCTTCCTGAAATTCCTCAGATGGAAGAGAAACATCCTGACAAGCTCAGACCGACAACCTGACATTTCTCAGTCTCCACCACCAGCTTTAGCTGAAGCTGATTCCTGATTTTTTCTGTTTTTAACTGAAAATAAGAGTTCGATTTTTAATCTGTGACATTGCTGGATTTGTCTATTCTGTGAGATTAAAAAAATAGGTCTCCAAAAGGAAGCAAACCATGGGAGTTCTTCTCCTTAAACCTCCACTGACCAAAGGGAATATTAAGGACAATGAAAGGAGTGATTCCCAAGGACACACAGTGATCCATCATTAGATCAATGATTTATTATTATGGTTGCTATTTTATCAATTATACAAAAGCCAGAGAAAACACCTCCCTTAATGACACATTTGGGTTTCTGGTTTAATTATTTCCCTCTTTTTTAGTGCTCTGTTGTAGTTTCACTACTTTGGCTACAGTTTCACAAACACATTAGTTACACAGGTCAGAAAGTTTCCTGGAGAGCTCACTGTTTTCAGCTTCTTGGGCACGAACTCCTTGGGGATCTCCTCCTGCTTCCCAGGTTTCTCATCCTCATCTGAGTCCTCGTCTGACTGTTCCTCGGCCGCCGCCTTCCTGAGCCCGGCGCTGACAAAGCTCACGGGGGCGGAGTAATCCCTGGAGCTGAGAAACACGCCGTCAGGGAATGCTGCTCCAGAGCACCTTCCTGGGGGAGCCTGGGGGCTGCTGTGCCTTACACCCGCCCAAAATGAGATATTAAAGATGGTCCAGCTGTTTGACGCTGGTTGTGCCCCTCCATCTCCCCGGACTGCAGGAACGGGGAGCAAAGGGGAAGTCCCGCAGGTGAAGGGTCCCAAAGGCAGCCCCGGGTCAGGATGGGCTACTCAGGGGGGTGTCCACAGCATGGGTATCCTCAGGGAACGGGGAAATCTTCACGGAAAGGAGAAAGCTCTAGGGAACGGATGAATACCCAGGGAACGGGAGGAACCCAAAAGGAATGGGGGAGCTCCCCGGGAAGGAGAAACCTGTAGGGCACGGGGGGAGCTGCCCGGCCCGGGGCAGCCTCAGGGGCGGCCCAGCCCGGCCCAGCCCCGCTCCCGCCCGTACCGCTTCCCGCCGAAGCTCGGCCGCTCCTCGTCCGAGTCGCGCTCGGCCCACACGCCGTAGATCGCCTCCTCCTTGGTCTGGCGGTGCCGCTGCCGGTGCGGGTTAAACTCGTTCTGTAGGTCCCAGTCCGACACCTCGAAATTCTCCATCTCCACGCCATCGGCACCGTCCGTGCCGTACAGGTGCGACATCGACATCGCGGCAGCGCCGGGGCCCCCGGCCCGGGGACCCCCAGCCCCTCAGGGACCCCCGGCTGGACACCCCCGGCCCCTCCGGGACCGCTCAGGGATCCCCAGATACCCCAGGACCCTCTGGGACCGCTCAGGAATCCCCGGACAGCTCCGTCCGCGCCGCTAAACCGGATGAGCCCCGTTCACTTCCGGTTTACTTCCGGTTACGCGCAAACTCCGCTACAAACCATAGAGTCGCAAGGGGCGGAGCGGCCGCCCCTGGGCCGCGCCCGCAGCGCCACTCTACGGCCCGGCGGAATATGGGGGGAAGGCAGAACCCGCGCTGTTAAATATCAAATATTGAAACATTAAATATTAAATATCAAACCAACACTTTAATGGTGTCCGACACCGGGGGTAGGGGGGCCATATATTAACTCTGCAATAGCCTCTGCAGGGTCAGGGAGGGGGTGTGGGGAGGGGGGCACGCGCACCACAAAGTCTCTGCAAGGCCAGGGGGCTATTCCTGACCCTGGGAATTGGGAACAGCAGGGACAGGGCGGCTGTTCTTGAGCCTGGGAACAGGGAATGGCAGGACCAGGATGGCTGATCCTAACCGTGGGAATAAGGAACAACAGGCCCAGGATGACTGTTCACAACCCTGGAATTAGGGAACAGCGCAGTCAAGACGGCTGTTCCCAACCCCAGAAATACAGAACAGCAGTGCTGGGAGGGCTGTTCCCCACCCTGGGAATAGGGAACAGCAGGACCAGGGTGGCTGTTCCCAATCCAAGGAATACAGAACAGCAGGACCAGGGTGGCTGTTCCTGACCCCAGGAATACAGAACAGCAGTGCTGGGAGGGCTGTTCCCAGGAACAGGGAACGGCGTCACAAGACACTGACACGAGATGTAATGAGTCCTCCGGCCACGGCACACATGGAACCTCCTCCCGCCACCCCCGAGCCTGGATTCCCACAGCTGCTTTTCCCACGGAGCGCTGGGAGAGGCCGAGGACATTCCCGCCGTGGAGCACGTTTGGCCTTTGCAAATAAATGCAAATACATTCCTGGAGCGCAGTCATTTGGCAACAGTAGGAGCAAGCAATATGCTTGGAGAACCGATTTCCACAGGCCAGTGCAAACTCTTCCTTCTTGGGCAACAAAAGGCCATTTGCAACGTTCTGGAAGAGAGAAACACAGGGAGAACACAGGGCAGGATCCCCTCAGAGGCAGGATCTCCTCAGGAACAGGATCGCCTCAGGAGCAGGATCCCACACACCAGCACAACAGTGCCCAACAGATGGTTTAAAGCTCCTGTGACACAAAACACAGTCAGCAAGGAACCAAATCCCAGCCCAGGACATTGGACACACAATTCCTGATCCTCTCTCAGCACTTCTGATCTTCTTCTAGCCGAACCGACTGCTTTTACACAGGAATTAGTTTTCAAAGGGTCAGTTTTAGTACCAAAAATGACATTTTATGCTTTAGCGCAGAGAGTAGAGAGGGAAAAACATCCAACACGTCAACAGTTGTCTCTGGAGCAGAAGCCCAAGGCAGCAGCTTTGTTTCTCATCATGTTTCCCTTTGTTTTCTATCCCCTTCCTCAGGTCCATGGCACGTCCTTGAAGGCAGCTGGGGAGCAGCTCAGCCCATCCATGCATTCCACATCCCATCCCTGTGCTGCCTGTGGGGACAGGCAGCAATGACCCTCCCAAGTGGCTGATTCTCATTTTGCTGCTTTAAGCCTGTTCCCAGAGCTCAGGAAGAGAAATCCTGACAAATGGTCCCACACAGCAGCATTGTTGGGAAGATCTAAGGCAACTGTGAATGATCTTTGGCATCAGAAGTGTGCCTGGAGCCCTGGCTAATCCACAGAAATTACACAAACCAAATGCCAATCCTGGAGCAATGTGAGCAGATTTGCCCAAATCCCAAAATTAACAGGGTCTTACCTGGAAATCATTAATTTTCTTAGTGAGAAGATGACGTGTTCTGAGTGACCTGAAATAACCCAGAAACAGAAGGGTCAGCTCTGAGCCACCATCTGCATCCCCCAGGGAAGGGAGCAGGGACGTTCCCCGAGGGAAGGGAGCAGGGACGTTCCCTGAAGGAAGGGAGCAGGGACATTCCCAGCCTGCAGACACCCCTAAGAGGGAGCCAGGGACCAGACACCCCAGATTAACCCAAAAACACAACCCCCCAGGGCACACCAGACTCTTACCTGCAGGTGACCTTTCAGATTGGCCGGTGTTTTATAATCCCCCTTTAAAACCTGTGGGAAAGAGAACCTGGAGTGACCCTTCTGGGGCAGTGGCTCCACGAGCATCAGCCAATCCACCCCATTCCATGTGTCCCATGTCCCAGGACACCTGAACCAGGTGTCCCAGGACACCTGAACCAGATCAAACTCTGAGGGGAGTTTGATCTACATCATGGGGTCATATTGGGGCAAAAATGGGAGGTTTCATCCTTTTTGACTATAAAGACAGGGAGCAGGGAATCAACACAAGCAATTCCCAACTCCCCCCTTAGTCTGAGAGGCAACAACGTTTTGGTTTTACCACCATGTCAGTTCTCCAGTTTCATCCAAAAACCACTGAAAAGTCCATATCAGAGACCCACAGTGGCCCTGACCCTGCCCAGGGCAGATGTTCCCCCAAACCACCCGTGTCCCAGGACAGCTCTCAGCAGGCACTGAGGAGCTGTGAGAGACCAGAGTGCTGGGAGTACAGAGCAGTTCCAGGGAAGCTCTTCCCACCTCCCAGTCAGTGCTGCCACTTCCCTGCCTGCCTACAGCACCCTGGGGACTGGTCCCACCCTGCTCCCACCACCATGACAAAGGACACCTCATCCATGGGCACTGTCCCAGGGAACTGGGGGGCTGCGGAGCCCCACCCCAAACATGGGAACCTCCCTCTGCCTCCTAACTGCTGGCTGGGACTGCAGCTCCTTCCTTCCCGTTCTGCTCCAGGGACATGAGTCAATATTCAAAAAAAAAAAGGAAAAATCTGTTGGTTTTGCCCAAAGGCATTCCAAGCCTCCACGTGTGTTCCTGGTGAGAGCACGGGAGTGGCTGTGGAGCTACACACAGACACAGCACAGCCAGAATGTTGTACCAGGTCCCAGCCAGGGTACAGTGCCCAAAGAAACCATCAGCACACACCAGGAACGCCTACACCGGGGTTCAGGAACGGGGCTGGGTCAGGGAGGGACAAGTCAGGATCTGCCACAGCACCACAAACAAACACCACCACAAAACCATCGGCAGCACCGTCAGCATGAGCCCCATCAGGCTCCACCTGGAACACACAGCTGGGCTGGAATCACCTCAGGGGAGCTGTCAGCCATTCCCAGCCTTCCCAAGGAGAAGACTGCACCTCAAATCCTGTGTCCAGGTCTGGACTCCTCACTCCAAGACAGACAATGAGGTGCTGGAGCGTGTTCAGAAAAGGGAACAGAGCTGGGAAAGAGTATGGAGCATCAGGAGTGGCTGAGGGAGCTGGAGGGCTCAGCCTGGAGAAAAGGAGGCTCAGGGGATACCTTCCCTGACAGGAGAGGGAGCCAGAAGTGATCGGGCTCTGCTCCCAGGGAACAAGAACAGGACAAGAGGAAATGGCCTTGAGCTGTGCCAGGGGAGGTTGGACATCAGGAGGAATGTTTTCACAGAAAGAGTTGTCAGCCATTAAAAGGAGCTGCCCAGGGAAGTGGTGGAGTCCCCATCCCTGGAGGTGTCCATGTGTCACTCAGTGCTTTGGGCTGGGTGACAAGGTGGGGATCAGGCACAGGTTGGACTCAGTGGTCTTGGAGGTCTTTTCCAGCCTCAGTGATTCTGGGATTCTATGTCCGTTTCCCCCCTGCTCTCTCCTGACCTGGCTCAGCAGCCTCCTCTGCTCCAGGGGCTCTGTGAGCCCCCCGGCCCTGCTCCCCCATGGCGGTGACACTCACCCTGTGTGTGTTGTTGACAACCAGGGGGTCGGGGTGGCCGTAGTTGGGGGGGTTGGCGTAGGGGTCGTAGCCCAGCCTGGCGAGCATCGGGGCGATGTGGGCCATGTCCTGCAGCACATCCCCCGGGATGTGCCCGATCCATTTAGATAACGCCTCCAGGTTCACTGGCTTGATCACCTGGTCTGTGGATCTTTCTATCCTGGGGAAAAAAAAAGAAAAAAAACCAAAAGACACTAAAGTTGGATTTCACACACGTGCTGGGGTCACACAGAACAGCCTCAGCCAGGCTCACTGTCACCTCAACATCGAATCACAGACTGGTTTGGGTAGGAAGGGACTTTTGAGCTCATCCTATCCTACCCCTCTGCCATGGGCAGGGACATCTTCCACTAGACCAACCCCCATCCAACCTGGCCTGGAACACTTCCAGGGATGTGGCAGCCACAGCTTCTCTGGGCACCCTGTACCAGGGCCTCACCACCCTCACAGGGAAGAATTTCTTCCCTAAATCTGACCTAAATTTCCCCCATTTCAAATTGAAGCCATTCGCCCTTGTCCTGTCACTGCAGTTCCTGATGAACAGTCCCTCACTGGCTTCCCTCCGGATCCTGGGAGGTGCTGTGAGGTCTCTACACAACCTTCTCCTCTCCAGGTTGAACAGCCCCAACATGTCCCTTCCACTCCCATGACACAAACACTCATCACCTGCCAGGCACACCTGAGGCAGAGCCAGGGTGAGGCACAGAGGGGCAGTCCCAGGGCAACCCTGTCCCCTCGCAGCCCTGATCTGGGGAGCACGCCCTGGCAGGGGGTTGCACGGCCCCAGAGGTGGGGTCCCCCTGTATAGAATTATGGAATCATTAAGGCTGGAAAAGCCCTCTAAGATCATCAATTCCAGCTGTTCCCCCATCATTGCCAAGGCCACCACTAACCATGCCCCTAAGCACCACATCCACATGTCTTTGAACACTTTCAGCAAGAGTGACTCCACCACTGCCCTGGGAAACCTGTTCCAATGCCTGACCACTCTATCCATGAAGAAATTTTCCAAAAGATCCAATCTAAATCTCTCTCAGCACAACTTGAGACTGCTTCCTCTCATCCTAGAGGGGGGATTCATCCTTCACTGGGGTCAGGCTGTTACCAGGACACCTCTCCTTACTACAGGAAAATAATGTAAGATGTGTGGGCTGTAGCACAGGTGCACCACAGGGCCTCGAGGGAAATCCAAAATCTTATCTGTTTAAGGAATCTGGGCAAGATTTCCTC